TTTCCACTGCTGCTCCACCCCATCCCCACGTCTCGCCAAGACACTCAAGCTTCACCACTTGAACTCTTCGGAAGTTACCGAGAGAGCAAGATCCCGCCCTACCGACGGGTACACAAGGTGAGGAAAGTCTAGCAGAACACGGATCATCGGGGGACCCCCTCCGTTTAGTCGATGTCTGGGCGCAGTTGGTAAGTTGGATCTGGCAATCTCGCAGATTTTGCTGATCCCGCTACACCACAGCACCCTGATCCATTGAGGCATCGATCTGACCTGCGTCGCTTTGCAGGTAACGCGCCGCACCAGTTATGTCATCGTGCCAGACAGTGGCCTTGTCGCTAACAATTTCCAGCATGCCAATTTCCAGGACTACGACCGCATCGATCTCGTGCTCGCGCTTAAGGTGTTTCAGCTTCCTAGCAGAGTTGGGTTCATGGCCCATCTAAGCTCCACTAGGATCAGGGTGCTTAGCACCCAGTGTCTTCGCCTTTCTGTCGGTCCACGGTTTATGGTGTCCCAGCCAAGCATTAGGTCAAACCTCGGGTCCAGGTCTACGACCAGAAAATGTTCAACGCTATTGAAGTTTCAGGACTTTACACCAAAGTCAACTGAGATCTTTAACATAGTAACAAGTGCCCCCGTCGCCAGAAGGACAAAGATAGTATCACTCGTATGCACACACAGTGTCTCACCATTCCACTGAATCCCTTACAGGGGTGGATCGACGAGTGTAGCTACCCGACGCGCCCGGGTCAATACAGCCGCTTTGCATTTCCCTTCACGTTTGCTTGAGCGACCCGCATGTCCGGTTGCACACACGCTTCTTGTAAGATAGCCGATCTCTCTTCGAAGCTGAGCCCTATTGCCCTCTACCTCGTCGAGGCGCAACTTAAAGCAGCTCTTCTCCAGTAGACAACCCTGCGCATTCTGGGAGTTGATGTTTCTCGGCGTCGACCCGAAAGGAAGGATAGCCGGAGCCCCGCGCTTATTGCGGAAGAGACAATGAACCCAAAAATGGCTGGTTCTCCCGCATACAAAGCATCAGCGGATGCTGGCTCGCTGCTCCGCTTCTTCACCATCGTCATAGTTGAGCGCCTTCGCTTCGGGATTGCTCGAAGAGCGTGCGTTACCAGCGTACCAGCCCGGTCTGGCCGACTTAAAGCTGCGTTCGGCATTCAGTGCCACGTTCACCGCTACTTCAAAATATGTATAGTGCACACGGAACACTTCCGTTCGGGCTGCGCCCGCGCAGAGACCCTATTTGAAGACGGTCACTTTGACCGACTGGTAGAGGGTCCGCCGCCATCCCGGCGATCAGAGCTCCCAACTCTTGGACATGGTCAAGCAGCTTTTGTCGGGTGGTAACGAACCTCGACCAAACACGGTACGCCTGGTTAGAAGACGCAAACACGGGTGACACCTGCTACTTCAACAGAGCCCAAGTGGTGAGCGCAACGTCAGCAGACGTGAACCGCATGCTAGCGTCCACTCGCGATCGCGACCGCCGAGCTTGGAGATGGCAAATGCCACGCACTGCTGCTCAGCCTGGAGAATAGCCGATCCCATGACCGTCTTGACCGCACAGGTCCAGAGAAGGCGATTCTCTCCTTCCTTCCCTTCGTAGATCTCACACTCAGTAGGAGCAGCTATGGCCTCGCAGACTCATCACGCGTGACAGAAGCTGCCGCCATTGCCAACCTCATATTCTCTTGAGCATGCTCCAAGAGCGCGTTCTTATAGCGAGAGAGCGACATCAGCCTGATGGTCAGCATTTCTAGACCTTGCGACGTTAGGTGCGCCAAGCCCTCTGGGTCAAGCAAGGATATCAGCTGGATCGGCGCGTCATGCTGCGTACTCAGAGCGGGATGCTACGGGAGTGATTGGTGATGCCCAGGGCCTGTCGAACGCACCAGCAACGTTTAACCGTCTTGTGACGCATTTGTGTAGTAGTACGCTCAGACGTACTTTGCGATATCTTCGCCCAATGTGTGCTGATCACGGTAGGTCAGGCGTGGGGAGCAACATTGACCATCTGCAAGCGACTCTCGAGTGCGTGTGTCCTAATAAGCTGTAATTCAGCTTGAGCAAACGCATTTTTGCCCATGTCAGGCATTCCTTCCTCGGATGCTTCATGGAAAGCATGGCTTGCGGGTGGATTCTGCTAAAGGCAAGGCCATCATGGACTGGCCGGTTCCCAGGAGCCAGAAGGACTTACGCAAGTGGCAAGGCTTAGCCAATTACTTGTATAAATACAGCGCCAAATACGCGGAGATTGCTCTGCCATTGTCGAATCTCATTAAGAAGGATGCATCATGGTGCGTGAACGTCGAGTCCGACGATGGCTTACAGACAGTGAAAGAGATCCTTCTGCAAGTGCCTATACTCGCGCGTCTGGGCCCAGATTGTCCGTCCACCGTCGTTTGCGACGCATCTGATTTCGCAACCAGTTGTGCCTTACTACAAGCAGATGCCGAAAGGGTCGAACGCGTGATCGCGTTTCAGTCTCGCCAGCTCAAAGCTACAGAGAAGAACTATCCAGCTCATTGAAAAGATCTATCTGTAATAACGTATGATCTAGTTAAGTTCATGGTGCTAGGTTTTAAGCCTTTTAAGATCTTTACTGACTATGCGTCGCTACGTACTATGACTCAGTCGCCTCATATCTCTCAGAGACTGGCAAGATGGATTTCCTTCTTTGACGAATTAAAATTCGAGGTGAAGTACAAGCCGGGGCGACCCAATGTAGTGGCCAATGCGCTTTCGCGTAGGGCGAGCTACAGATTAGCCCAGTGACGTCGCCAATATCTGACATGATACGTGGAGTGTATGTACAAGACGACATGTGCGCAGCGCTGCTACAAACGATTGGGAGCGAAAAGCTTAAAAACGTTGACAAAAAATAATCTGGGCGCTTTCGCGTGAGGCTGCATCGATACACTTTCGATGATGGCCTGCTGTACTACAACACCGACTCTGAGGATATTCCCCGTGTGGGCGTTCTTCATTATGAGGACCTCAAATATTGAATCTTCTACGAGGTTCAAGATTTGCCTGGTTGGTGGACACTTAGGTCGTGAGAAGTCATAAGTCTCGGTACGGGTAGCCTAAACTGTTCAAGCGGGTTAGCACCTACAAACGCACCTGTGAGACGTGTCAACGGACGAAGTCCGCCTCGAACGCGGCGGCGCTGCTGGCAAGCCTACCTGTTTCCACGCGGTGTTGGCATTTTATCAGTCTGGATTTGTTTTGGTCCTCCGAAGGATAAGACGGGCAACACATCTTTGTAGACCGATTGAGCAAGATGATACACTTAGGCGATACCAGACATCATTAATGGAGAAGGGACAGCGCTGCTGTTTTAGACCGAGGTTTTCGCCAACGTTACTTGCCAGAGACAATTGTCTCGGATCGAGACCCGGGGTTTACCGCGACGTTCTGGACGTCCCGCTTCGGGGTGCTGCTTGGCACTCGTTTGAACATGTCCACAGCGAATCATCCGTAGACCGACAGTCGAATCGAGCGTGTAAATCGCCTTGTCGAGGATAACCCTAAAGCGTATGCTCTAAGGCGCCGAAACACTGGAGCGAGATGCTCCCACTTGTGGAGCTCGAGGTACGTGTCGCTACGTATGAAAGTTAATATCTGTAGAAGGAGCAAGCAGATACTCGAGGCAACGGCAAATGTGGAAAGATTTGGGGTTGGTGATCTTATTTTATTTAACGCCAAGTACCTACCTACACATGCAGTGTCTGCGGTCCTTTAAGACTAAACTGAGGCTGAGTTTCATCGGGCCTTTCAAGGTCGTGGTCAAGAAGGGTCTGGCGGACACGCTCAACCTTCCGAAGAAGATGCAGACGCATCCGTACTTCTACGTGGGCGTGCTTAAGCCGTACCATGACTCTGCTGAGCTGGGCACGTAGGCTTTGAAGCCAGGACAGAAGGTCGGAGGGCACCCGCGCAGCAGCAGGTGGCGGAGCCACAGCAGGCTGAACGACATCAAGTGGCGGAGTCACAAATCGCGGAGCAGCGTGCTCGGCATGCAAGAACAAGTCAAGCTGAGCATGCAGCTGATGACTCTGTAGGTCTGAGACCTGCTCGTGAATTACTCGATAAGGCTGAGCGACGGTCCGCTTCAAGCCTGCAATTAGGTTGGGGGTCGTGTGTGTGTGTGTGTGTGGTGGTGTGGTGGGGTGGGGTGGGGTGGGGGGCTCAAAAGAGTCTACTTACTAAACGTATTTCGCTAAGACCAACCACTTGGCGGTGAAGAGTTACATTCGTGTCGTGGACGCACATGTTGGCACGCTGTAGCACGGAGAGATCCACTATCACGTTAAACACCTTGTCGCGCGGCGGCGTGGACAGGGTTGTACTCAGTACCTTGTGAAGTGGGAGGTTATCCTTATTCACAAAACTCATGGGAGTTCGAGGTAGCCCTCCGTGAGGGCGCCCTGACTCCGTTGATGCCTCTTCCCTGGCCTATCCGCCACCAGCGCGTCAGCGGGGCTTGCGACGGTGTCACCAAACGTCCTGGCAAGTAGCGTGTGGTGGTGCAGGTCGGTAGCTGAGCTCGGGCTCTGACTAGTGACTGGATCTGCCGGCTCGAGACATGAGCAGCGGAAGCAGGAAACAGGGGGCCTAGTGGTGTGGTTGTAGTCCCGCAGAAAGTCGGCGTTTTGCGTTTACTGGTCAAGGTCCAAGCGACTCGATATACATGTGTTTGCTAAAATCGAGAGTCGACGCTTAGATGGGCACTGCAGCAGCAAAGGTGTTGGTCCCGGCCGAGACCTTTTGCTTTGAAGACACCTCCCTACCATTACCATTGATCTATAAGGGTGGCACCCCAGTGCATCGCTGCGTAGGCAGTACTGCTCATGATTTGTGGGCTTGAGTGGGATAAAACCACCGACCTATCGCTTTCAAAGTCAGCGCTCTACCATTGAGAGTTAAGGGCGGTGCCCGTAAGTTTGACTACTTACGGATCGTTGCTCTAGGTATTATAGGGTTGTGCTCGAGTGGGATCGAATCACCGACCTATCATTTAAAAAACGAGTGCTCAACCACTGAGGTACAAGCGCCATGTCTATAAACCAATAGGAGTGTGAAGATCTGCTCCATGGTACCGTAGCTCGTGCTGCGGTGTCGAGCCGCCGACCTTCCCCTTGTAAACCGAGTGCGCAACCACTAAGCTATACGGGAGTCGTGTTCTCAGCAGCTTGGCTGTCTGTGGTATGCAGATCGCAATGCGGTGGTGCTCGAAGAGCGCACAGAAAGAGAACACGAGAAGCGCCTGGGGTCGGCGCTTGGTGCAGCAGCTGTAGGGATCGCTTGGAGGTATGGAGCATAATGCACCAGTAAAGTGTCACGTGTAGACTGAAGCGCTGAGCAATAAAAGGAAACGTGGGCGTGGTCCTGTGCAAGGGTCTTGCACTTTAACAAGGATAGTTTGACAATGTATTAGCTGAGCTGCTGTTCTGCGGAATGTGATTGTAAGGGGAAGTGGTCATTAACGTCTTTGAACGACGGACGTCGCTGAGGGAATTTCGTGGACTTGCGAGCCCACATCTTAGTGGGGAGCGAATGATAAGATTACACGGTGTACGAAGTACCAGGAGAGCTAGCGGACTCTCAGAATATAACTTCGATAGAAACCCAAACTCTCTGAACGTTGACTCGAAGCCACACGATACGCATACGATTAGGTTTGACAGTAAATACATATATCCACGGCTTAGAAGCTTGATCGCAATAAAAGATAAATTAAACACTTCGAATTTCGAATCATAAAGTTGTTACTGTTAATAATAACTATGAGCACTGGTTATTGAGCTGCATAAGTCCCCTACGGATAACTTATGCAGCCCTACGGGTTTTTATTACGGACGCTTTGAGTCGGACATTTCCTCTGACGCTAACGATACGGTAGCCCTGCTGCACTTAATAGCACTCGCACGTTGTAGCTCTTGCAGCGGGGCTGCCGTAGCTTCGCGTCAGAGGAAGACGCCCGTCCCAAAGCGTAGCTGATACTAAGCGCCTTCACAACTGGCAAGCACGGCGCGCAACTAGCACGTACAACAAGCCATCAACACCTCCACGAGGCGATGCCACATAATCGTCTACTCAGTTATTCATGGGTACCGATGAGACTACAGCCGAAGGGCAAATTGCGATGACCAAGGTCAGGATAGAGAATAGATACTTCTTAGCTTGACGTGATACGAGCCATAACTTCATCGACACCGCACAAAGGGAGTAAGCATTTGTTCTACCCGGGACACTAGCTATAAAGGGCTTATATCACACGGTGAACATGGTCAAGACCACCGCGAGGACAGCGACAAATGTAGTCATGGTGTAGGTCAACGTGATCATCGTCGGGACTATTTGATATCAGGCATTCACAGTAGCCATGCACAGCAACGCAGCTGACCAAGCGCAAAACGAGCACTACTTGCAAGCGCAGCGCTATGCACTCTTCGAGCGACAGTGAAGGCTTGCAGAACGTTTGGACGAAGGTGAGCTCTTTACCGCCACTACTGCGGGGAAGTCGACCAAGAATGAAGATGC